CCTTGATCATTTGATCGTGGAGAGAAAGTATGCTGAAGCTGCATCATTGTGTCCTAAGTTGTTGAGAGGGTCTTCTTCAGCATGGGAGAGGTACTAAAAAGCCATTGTTTTCTAAGTGTTATATATGTTTCTTTTTTGTTTCAAACCCATTTCAAGGTGCACAGCCTGGGTATTCGAGTCCAACCCTTATCTTGGGAAGTACTCAACCAGCAAGCTGAGGCTGGTGGTAATTCTTTTGTATGTTAGTATTAGTAACTGGCTGCTGGTTTCGTTTTATAGATGGGTGTTCCACTTTGCTCATCTCCGGCAGCTTCCAGTACTTGTACCATACATGCCAACAGAAAACCCGAGACTGCGTGATACTGCTTATGAGGTTTTTAAGGCAAAACATTTGCTACTACATGCGATCTCTATTTTCACTAGTAAGGACTTGAGGATTTTTCTTTGATGTGCTTTAGGTTGCTCTAGTGGCACTAGCTACTAATCCATCTGTCCACAAGGATCTCTTATCAACTGTTAAATCTTGGCCACCTGCAATTTATTCTGCTCTGCCTGTTATTTCTGCCATAGAGCCTCAGCTAAATACATCATCAATGACTGATGCCCTCAAAGAGGTTATTCTGATACTTGTGTTATGTCAAAAGCTATTAAATTTATTGATTTCTCTTTATCAACCATTCTATCCTTTCCTGTGTCAGGCACTAGCAGAATTGTATGTGATTGATGGGCAGTATGAAAAAGCTTTTTCACTTTATGCTGATGTAAGTGTAATAGAAACTCTTGCCAAAGTGAATGTATCTATTGGTGGAGCACTTGGAGTTTCTTGGCAAGGTTTTATATCTATCTGTTCTGATTTGCTTCTGTACGTTGTTTTATTTTTCTTCTGCAGCTTATGAAACCATATATATTTGAATTCATTGAGAAACACAACTTACATGATGCCATTCGTGAAAAGGTACGGAAATGAAAATTCAGGTTAAACATTTGACGAGTCGTATCTTCATGTGCTATTAGGTTAGGTATTTTCAGTTATTTGTTCTAGTGAGGTTTAAATAGGAATATAGCCTCTCTATTACTCTTATTTTTCTATTCAAGTCCTTAAATTAGTCCATTTATTTTTAGATGTTTTCTGAATAAGTACCTCCATTTAACAGACAATATCTGACTGTTAGTCAACGTCATGTGGCTGGCCATTGGCGTTGACTTGCTACTCAATGATGATCTGAAAATGTTTTTCACATCATGCTCCATGTCATTAGAGTGCTGCCATTTGAGAAGCTACTGAGAAGCACACTAGCTTCTCTATATTAAAAATTAATGCTTTCCTTCCTCGCTGAGAAGCACAGGTAAGAGAAGCTTGAGGAGCAGAGAGAAGCTCTGGGCAAGTGAGAGAAGTACACGGCCACTGGTTCCAAAAGAGAAAGCTCACAGTTACCAAAGCCAAGAGAGAAATGAATGGAACTGGCAAGCTGTCCAAAACTACAGAAGAAGAGAGAAGTAGTAGGAGCCTAAACACCATTGTATTAATCACAATCTTCACCTTCCTCAGCCCAATATCCTGTCCTGTACGCGATTTCCCAACTCTACTCCCCCCAGTGCTGTGCACAGCACATGCATGTTCACAAAATTAACCAAAAAGTTTTACTATTATAACTACAATTTTTATTTTCACCCCTATATATATGCCTGGAGATGATTATATGTATATATACATATATATTATATATATACCTGGTGACTGAAGCAAATACCGAGGACCTTCTTCTCCATGGCTTCTAAAACTTGGAAAAGAAAATAGAGCTTGAGAATACAGAAATCCTTGGCATAGGCATCGTAAATTGTAAAATGAACTTTGGGCTTGGGATGGGATTGGTAAGAAGTCGAAAATTGTAAAACTAATTCATTTAACTATTTTTTAGATGGTGTGGAAAGAGAAGAACAACAGAGCGTTTGACGGATGTATGGGAGATTTTGGCAGAATTAGAGATAGGTGGATACATACTTTTTGAACTCTAATTCTGAGGCATGATGTATATGAGTGGGATGATTTTGGGAAAGTTTTGATGTTTTAACTGACATGTAAATATACTGTACAGGGGCAGCACCCTATTGGTGCCTTATGCTTATTATACTTGATTTTTATCTAAAAAAAAAATGGCATAGGCGTCGTAAACGCTTTGCTAATGACCATTCCGGGAAACTCTCCTTCCACCACTCTGAACAAATCCCATTTGTCTCCTTTTTTCCCCGAATGAAGATACAGAGGAGTTCATATGGGTGTAAGGTACAACTGCATGGACTAGGGGAATATACAGAGGAGTTCATGCACATTGTGTTTACGCCCACCAGAAATTTTTGATTTATAAGCAATTATAATTTGCAAAAGAGGAAATTAAGTTTTAGAGGAAGGATTTTAGGAAGAGATGAATATATATTTGAGATATATAGCTATATGTATACATATAGAGAAAGAAAATATATGTTATAAATACTAGACCAACTTCTGCAAGCAAAAGACCAGAATAAGCTGGAGGTTTGGGTGTGTGTATATATATATATATACAGGTTAAACAGGCTTATGTCCCAGCTTCTTTGCACCTCCAGGTGTCTGCTGCTACTCTCGTCTTCTGCTGTTCCAACAGCTCGGCAGATTGGTTGCTTTTCTCTCAGCTTTGGTGGCCATGAGCTTCTCTTCTGAGACCCGTGGCCATTGCTTCCCTCACTCATCCAGCTCTTATCTCTGCTCCTCAAGCTTCTCTCACGTAAGGAAGGGAAGCATTAATTTCTCTAATTTGGAAAAGCTACCGTGCTTCTCAAATGGCAGCCCACCTTTGATGACATGGAGCATGACGTGAAAAAAAAGATTCACCTCATGGTTGGATGGCAAGTCAACACCACATAGCTGGCCACGTGGCATTAACTTAACAGTCGGATGATGTCTGTCAAATGGGGGTGTTTATTTAGAAAAATTTTAAAAGTACAAAGACTAATTTAGATTGGAAAAATCGTAGGGACTTAAAATATAAAAATAAAAACAGTACAGGGGCAATTTTCCTATTTAAGCTGTTCTAGTGAGAAGGAAACTTTTTCAGCACATTTCTCATTTCAGTGTCTAAATGAATGGGCAACCTTTTCAATTTGCAAGCAGCTCTTGGGTCAATCTATTACTAATCATGTGGACATTTTTGATTCTCTGGTGGATATGATCTATGACAAAACAAAAAAAAAAAAAAAAATAGCAGACTTTTCCCCATACTTAAAGTTCTGAACCTCTATGGTTAACGAATGTTGATGTCTTCTTAACAGGAGGGTTAAATGTCTTTCTGTGTTTTCCCTTGAGCAAGGGAGTTTTGGTTGCATTTTTCTCATTTAAAAATTTCATTATATAAATCACTTGACCTTTTTTTCTGATATGTACTTATAGGTCGTCCAACTGATGATGCTTGATTGCAAGCATGCTGTTCCTTTATTCATCCAAAATAAGGACGTAATAACTCCAACTGAAGTTGTTTCCAAACTTCTAAATGCCAGCAATAAATGTGATTCAAGATATTTCTTGCATTTATACCTACATTCACTATTTGAAGTAAATCCACACGCAGGAAAGGATTTTCATGATTTGCAGGTATGAAGAACACTGGACTTAGTTTTGATTGCTTTCACAATGTGTTCATATTCACTTTCTTATTGGTCAAAGGAATTATTTATGGTTCACCTAAATACTGTTTGTTGTTCACCTGAATTTAGATGTTTGTTCTTTGTCTTCACTCTTGTCTATGTGGGAAAATGTGTTTGGTGGTCTAATCTAAAAACTTTATTACCTGTTTTATTATTGTGAAAGGTGGAATTGTACGCGGACTATGATCAAAAGATGCTACTTCCATTCCTTCGTAGCAGTCAACATTACATGCTTGAGAAGGTAGAAGCAGTCAATAAATTGACAATGAGAATGATTACCTAATTTCTTATCTAAGGATTGACACATTGAAATTAAACCTTAGGCATATGAAATATGCATCAGAAGAAATCTGTTAAGGGAGCAAGTCTTCATCCTCGGAAGAATGGGGAATTCCAAGCAAGCTCTTGCTGTCATCATAAATGAACTGGGTGATATAGAAGAGGTACCTTACATTTTTTGTCTGGCAAAATCTTCTGCTCTTTCTGGATATCTTTTCTAGTTAATTTTCTTTTCTCTTGTTTCTTTCTTCTTTCAAAAAGCGTTTCTGGTGAGTTTTTAGGTTTAGTTGTTATTGACTTAGTTAAAAGTTATGTGCAGGCAGTAGAATTTGTGACTATGCAGCATGATGATGAGCTTTGGGAAGAATTGATAAAGCAATGTCTTGACAAACCTGAAATGGTAAAGGCAATAATTCAAAAAATATGTTCACAGTAGCATATGCGAGAATATTTTGCGAGTTTTTCTAAAGCATTTTGTTACCAATTGGCAGGTGGGCTTGCTGTTGGAGCACACTGTTGGCAATCTTGATCCTTTATACATTGTAAATATGGTGCCCAATGGCTTGGAGATACCTCGGTTAGTTTGATGACCATGATGTTTCTATTCCTTTTTTTCTCTTCTAGTTCTCTTTTGCTTTTTTCTTTTAATTTTCTTAATGACTATATCTTTCTCTATACCTTGCATATTTTGCTTCTCAATATAATTTTACTAACGTTTCGGAAACATATCAATTCAATCTTTTGTACATCTTAAAATGGGCATGTTTTATATTGAAATCATCATGCATGCTTTTAGCGATAATTTTGTTTTGCCTTTGTTTTGCTGTCCATGAGAATTAGGGTCCTGATTGATTATATAAAAGTATTTTGAGTTTTTGTTTTCTTATTCTTTTATACTTTTGTTTTGCTAGGCAAAGACGTTTAATTATTAAGTTTAAGAAAACAGTATTTTAGAAATAAAAACGATACAAGATGCATTTAGTTCTAAAACACCTACTTAATTTAATTCTTTATAACTTACAATTAAAAGTACTAGCATTTTAGATATGTTTGTATTCCTTATATTTAATAATAACTATCTAACCAAACCATAATAGTTAAAGCAGTCATAAGAGTTTTTAGGATAACTTACTTAGGGATCTTTACCGTTCGAGTAGAATTACAACTAGGCTTATTATTTTCCTAAAATAACAAGTTATTTCTTACATTAAGTACATTTTTTAGATACATATTTAAAGAATATATTATCATACACATTTTCAGTCCTTGCACATGTTGTTTATTATTATCATATAAGCTAAAATTCGTATTCTTTTTTCTTTTTGTTTCTCTTATGCGAATTAGTTGTAATGTTGTAACTTTTTGCTATATTACAATCAAATGAATAATATATTACATATATTTAACTATCATTTAATTTTTAATAATAAACTGGATTAAAAATGACAGAAATAATTGATATATTTGTTATGTTAGGATAATTTATTTTTTTAAAAATAACGAATTTAGTCATTTTTTTAAAAATAAAAAGTGTAACGAATATATATTAACATGGTATCAAGAAACAAGGAGTACCACCCATTACAAAAGTTTTACAATGTAGTTAGTGGATCAATGACATATCCAAAATTCTTATCACTAATTATGTCATGTTCTAATAGAATAGACCTAAAATAATGCATTCATTTATTTTTTAATCTATGCAAATCACCCTCTTTACTCTTAAAAACTCTAGAATTTCTCTCTTTTCGTAGAACCCGAAAAATAGTTAATAAAATCATTTTTGACATCTTTCTATCAAAGTGCACACCATCCCAATCCCACAATTTCTCCTGTATAAACCCAGCTATTGCCCAATTAATACCAAGGAGATTGTAAATAAGGCTCCACAACTCAAAGGTCACAGGACACCACAACAATACATGATTACACGATTCTATTGCTTTCATGCATAAATAACATTTGTTTGGAATATAAAGCTCTCTAACTTTTAATTTGTCAATAGTTAGTATACATTCCCTGCAGGCTTCCCAAGCAAAAAATGCGATTTTTGGTGGGACTTTTATTTTCCAAACCTGCCTCATGGGAAAATGATGTATCCTTTCAAGATTTTTCTTGGTGATCTGACTATGATAGGACTTCACTGAAAAACTATCGTTTTTTTTCTAATTTCCATCATCCACAAGATTTATCTGTTGTGAAGCTAGCAACTGCAATAAGCTTTCATACTCACAGACTTCTCAATCTTGTAGATTTCTTGAGACATTTATCCACCAAACCACACTGCCATTATACATTCTGTAAGCATCTTGGGACAACATGTTTTTTGTGTGCACAATAGTATAAATTCTCGGATATTTACTCCTCAAGCTCTTATTCTCAATCCAGACATCATTTTAAAATTTTATTCTGTTACTCCTACCAATTTTCCACAACAGATTGTCATGGAAACTAGGCCATTGCATCAGGATTTTTTTTTCACAAACTTCTGCCATGCTGCTTCCCAGATCTCTCTCCCCCTTTGTTATCCCAATTCAGATCACCCCACCTGATTGCAACTATCCTCCTCCATAATCTTTCATCCTCCAAACAAAATCTCCACAACCATTTCCTCTGTAGAGCCACATTTAAATCCATTAAGGACCTAATTTCCAACCCCCCATATCTGGGATGCCTTTAAACCTCTTCCCATTTAACTAAATGAAATTTCCGGTTCTCCTCATCATCACCCCACAAAAACCTATTTTGAATGGTTTCTAATTTTTTAGTAATATTAATCGGAATGGTAAAAATAGATAAATAGTAAATAGGTAAGCTGACCATAGTACTTTTTATAAGAGTGAGTCTGCCTCCCTTGGACAAAAAATTCCTCTTCTAACTAGCAAATTTCCTTTCAAATAATTCAACAACTGGATTTCAAGTAGATTTATTTTTATACTTGGCACCCAAGGGCATCCCTAAATACTTAATCGGCAAAGACAGCTCATTGCATTCCATCACATCTGCAAACAGTCTACCATTCCCTTCTCCCCCGATTCTGACCAGCTCCGTCTTCTGCAAATTTATCTTTAATCCCGAGACACCTTGAAAACATAACAAAATGCATCTTAAGTGTAGTAGATTCTTTGACAAAATATTAGAGTATCGATTACAAAAAATAGATGGAAAATCTCAATATTTGAACTGCCTCTTCCCACATTAACCCCTTGAATTAATTTCAGATTTTTCGCCCTATTCAACAATCCGTTAAAGGCTTCCATGATCAAAATGAACAACAGCGGTGATAGAGGATCACCCTGTCTTAGACTCCTTGATGCATTAAAAAAGTTTGATGGTCCTCTATTAAAAAGGACCACAAAGATGTTGTAGTCATACAAGTGTGTATCCATAACCTCCATCTGTGGCCAAAACCCATCTTACACAACATATAATCCACGAACTTCCAACTGACATGATCATAAGACTTCTCCATATCTAGTTTACATGTCAAACCTTCTTTTTTTCGAGCTACCAAGTTATCCACCACCTCATTTGCCTCCCTTTCACAAACGCATATTGACTTTCCCCAATAATTTCTCTAAGAATCTAGAAAGTCTTTTAATCAAGACCTTTGCGATGAGTTTGTAGATGTACCCCACCAAACTTATTGGTATAAATTCATTGAAGTTCTTGACATCTTTCTTTTTGGGAATAAGAATAATAAAAGTGAAATTCAAGGATTTCACGAACTTACCGGTTTTGTGAAGTCCCTAAACATCTCCATTACATCATCTTTTATCACATGTCAACACTTTTGTAGAAACTTCCTGTTAAATCCATCCGGCTCCGGCGCCTTCTCACCATTACATAAAAATAAGGACTCTTTAAGCTCATCTTCATTAAATTCCATCTTGATCATCTTCTTGCTACCCTCAGACAGAACCTTGAAGTTAATTCCATCAAGAGTGGGTCTCCTATCGAATTCTTCCTTATACAGATTTGAAAAGAAAACCCTGACAGCATCTCTTAACTCCTGATTACTAGCCACTTTTCTGTCATCAATCCATAAATCTGCAATATAGTTATTTCTCTTTCGTTAGTTAGCCATGATATGGAAATACTTCGTGTTTTTATCTCCTTCCAGAAGCCATTTCTCCCTGGACTTTTGTTTCCAGGATATTTTTTCTCATTTTAGATGATTGTACAACTTTGCTTTCAAATTATCCCTCCTATCCAACTCTGCGTCCTCTAGAAAACCCATACCCTCCTTTTGATCAATCTCATTGATAGAATTAAGCATACCATATACTTCTTTCCCATCTTTCTTTCTTTTTTCTTTAGCCCATTCCTTAATCCATGCTTTCAAAGCTTTCAGCTTATAGACGATTCTGAAACTAGCTTTACCATTCACCTTAGTGTTTCTCCATTTTTCTTCAACAATAACACAAAATTCTTTATCAATTAGCCATTTGTTATCAATTCGGAATGGAATGGGACCCCATTGTAGACCATCCGTTTCTAAATAGATAGGATAATTATCCGAGATAGGGTGTTGAAAGGTTTTTTGCACAACACCCGAGAGTTTATCAACATATTTGGGGATAGGAGGAACTTATCGA